ACGCCGGCCCCCGGCTCCTGAAGGTGAGATTTTTTTAATTTTTGCTTCATTGGCACTCACAATTGTTGCCACTCGGTATGTAGATGGAGGTGAGCAACGACGACATGGACTCGTTGTCCGATTCGTTGGATTGGTCATCATCCGACGATTCGGACATTGACGATTTGTTGCAAGACGACGACGTCGAGATGATGAGCCTCCTCATCGACGTGCAAGCGTTTGAAGACCGAGCGAAGCTTATGGATCAGAGGAGAGGGTCGAAGATGGGGCGACTCACCATCTACCGGAACCGCGCTCTCGGACACGAGCATTTGATGCAAGACTACTTCGCGGAGGTACCTACATACCCTCCTCATCTCCTCCGCAGAAGGTACCGAATGCGTCGTAGTTTGTTTGTGAAGATTGTCACCGATTGTGAGGCCGCCTCCGATTACTTTAAACGTCGTAGATCCGCCGCCGGTATCATGGGGTTTAGTGCATATCAAAAGATATCGGCGGTAATGCGGGTACTCGCTTATGGCATACCCGCGGATTATGCCGACGAGTATCTTCGCATTGGGCAAGATACAACCATGGAGTCCGTCCGTAGGTTTGCCAAGTTGGTCATCCGGTTGTATGGTGAGCAGTATCTTCAGGCACCAAACGAGGAAGATACAAAGAGATTAATGGAAATGAATGAAAAAAGGGGATGGCCGGGGATGCTTGGTAGTCTTGATTGCATGCATTGGAGGTGGAAAATTTGCCCAAAGGCATGGCACGGAATGTATTGCGGTAAAAGCCGTGATGCTACCATTGTGCTTGAGGCCGTAGCATCGGAGGACACATGGATTTGGCATGCATTCTTTGGGTTACCGGGAACACTCAATGATATCAATGTCCTCAATAGATCTCCTTTGTTCAAAAGATTAATTTCTGGGGATGCTCCAGCTTGCAACTACAAAATCATGGACAGTGAGTACTCAATGGGATACTATCTCACCGATGGCATCTATCCCGAATGGACAACTCTTGTGAAGTCCATCAAGGAGAAAAATGGGGTGCCCTTAACAAGAAAAGAGGCTCATTTTACCAAGGCACAAGAGGCAGTCCACAAGAATATTGAGAGAGCTTTCGGTGTTTTGCAAGCAAGGTTTGCCATAGTTCGGGGTCCAGCTCGGTTTTGGGACAAAAAAAACCTTGGTGAACATCATGAAATGTTGTGTGATTCTACACAACATGATCCTAGAGGATGAGAGAGGGTTAAACCTCCCTTGTTTCTATGACAATGTTGGTACCCGTGTGCAACCGGAAAGAAACCCTTCTCGCATACACGCTTTTCTTCAAGCACATCGTGAGATTGAGGATGCAACCACTCATGGTCAGCTCCGGGATGATCTAGTAGAGCACCACTCGCAGTTGGATGGGCGGCGCATTGGCCCATGATGTATCTTTGTTTTACTTTTCTATGTCCTATTTGATTCAAACAATTATTGTAATTTGCTCAAACATTGTTGTAATAATTTGAATGATTATTGTTTTACTCGGTGGTGTAATAATAACTAGAATGATTATTGTTTTATGTCAAATGTGATGGAATTTGTGATATGTCATATGATGAAATGTGTGATATGTGAAATGACGGTTTTAAAGGTTGGGGTTAAAGCAAAGACTAGAACCCTTAAATCCAACCCTTAAAGCAGTTTAAGGGTTGAGTTTGAGGGTTCTAGTCTTTGCCCCCTGTTTTTCAACCCTTAAAAATATCAAAAATTGACACTTCTCAACCTTTAAAACTGATTTAAGGGTTTGAGTGTTCTAGCTCTTATACGGGTCTGCTAGAGATGCTCGACCAGCCACAAAACCAACTGAAGTCTGAGCTCTGAAGCGGCGGCTACCCTCAATCTGTACGGACTAGAGTCATGAATCGACGCTCGCGCCGCAGAGGCAAGCGCGGGCGCACGAGCCCGGACCCCCCGGCGAAGCGCCGCCGCGGCCCGCTGGAGTCGATGCCCGGCGAGCTGGAGGCCGCTACAGCTCCAGTGCCGGCGCCGGCTGCGGCTCCGCAGCCGTCCGTAGTGATGTTCGCCGGGCTGCCGCCCGGGTGCGGAGTGATAGAGCTAAAGTCGCGCCTGGAGGCGTACGGCCCCATCGCGCGCACTCGCATAGACGCCGCCGCGGCAACCGGGCACGTCACCTTCCGCTCCGCTTCCGCTGCCACGGCCGCCATTGCCGCTTCCCTCGACCCCGAGTGCGGCATCACCATCGGATCCAAGAAGGTAAAGATCTACAGTACGTTTACTGAAGCGTGATGTCGGAGTTGCTGGATTCAGCATCAGGGGAGCCAAAATTCTGCTAGATTCGTTCAATGCTAACTTGCTTTACATCTAGCAAGATCCGGTAAAGGTTCGAGCCTTCTTTACTAGGTTTACTTGTAGTGCCAGAACAGCTGCATTTGTTAAAGTGCAAGCCAGCCATTTGATGGTGAATGCGCGAATTTCACTGATGCTTCTTACAAACCTAGGCCATTCCCTATTTTTAGGCTCATATTATGTTGGTATGTGAAACCCAATCTGGTTTTTCAGTTTTTTCATTCATTTGGTTATTTATTTTTTCTTAATCCAATCAATTTGCATGCTCATCTAGCTCTGCAAAGTTGGATTGACTATTTGATATGTTGTGCTTCATAGCAGTAACAATAACTGATTAAAATGCCAGGACCTGTAAAAATTAATGGAGACCAGAATTAAGCATTTATATCTGTGATATACTGTTTGACATCACCCAATAGGCTCTGTTGATCTCGGTGAGATTGTTGCTAACTTTGTTGCTCAATTCGTATGAAGCATACTGTTGTGGGTTTCAGATGTATACTGTGTCTTGCTTGCACTTTATTTGCCAACTTTTGGTACTCAGATTGGTGTTTCTTTCGTTCGATACAGGTTTTAGTTGTACAGGCAAATGAGGCGCCAAATAATTCGACGAGCGTAATTCAATCAGAGCCGGCGGATGCGAGTAACAATATTGCAAGTGATACTTTGGCTATCCCAAGCTCCAGAATAGCTCCAGAAGCGATCCACAAAGCGCGAGAAATAGTCGCTTATGATGACCTGTTCTGATACGCACTCTTCCTCTAGACAAGGGAGAAATCAGTGTGCTGTTGTGCAAAATTAGGGTCTTTAGCTGCCTAACTGTAACCAAGGGGTATCTCCTATCTCATGATGTTGCGCTGTAGGCCGTGACGAATTGCTTGTCTTCATCATTGAACCTATGTCGTACTGTGTAGCAGAAATTTGCTTCTAACATCGTTCAAAAGATGAAAAAAAATTAAAGGGCACATCATCTGTACTCCATGTATCATGGAAGAAATGGTATCAAATAGTTGGCCTATACACACAAGCTATTATTTACACATTATTATCTGGGAAATGAGCAGGTTTCTTTCCAGTGTGGGCGAGATTCTTTGTGCAGCATGATGTCATTGGACCTTGACAGCATTTCACTGAATGGCTTGCCTCATCTTGGTAATAGTTGGGTGCTTTATCAACTTCAATCTGTTGGTACACCACTTACTTGAGCTTTTCCATTAATGGTGACTTTACTGACTCAGAACACATTGCAGCTGAACTGAGCAATTATGTGCTATTCTTGAAGCTTCTTGACTTCCTTTTGGGGTACCACTCAGCATGTCTCACTAATGTTGCTACAAAATTTTAAAATAAAGAAAGTTAAGAAGAATCCCAAGTAGTAATCTGTGTGTTGGTAAGATAAACGAAGACGTAAATTCTAGGCCAATGTCACAACAGGTTAAATACAAGGTATAGCCAAAATGCATCATTTGTTGAAAGAGGAAAAGAGCCTTGTACTAATATCTGTCTGCCCAATTATTCATAGGATAGTATTGATATGACTGGTTGACTACTGTCAGAAGTAATCACTGTTCTACACAGATAGACTGGTCAAAAAAATCAGGCATCGTTCTAACATTATCTTGGTCACGTCTTCAAACTCTTTTTGGATTATGAAGCTCAAGAACAGCATGCCATAGTGCACTAAGGTTATTAAGACAAAATGTGTACACTTCATCAAATGAAAGCAACAGGAATAAAAGATAAAGAAACAGGAAGGGAAGGTTTTATCCACTAGTAACAATATTGATAATAGGAACAGGGATAGAGATTAACCAGTCTTGCTCCTTGCAATTCAATATCTTCACAGAAGCGGACTGCCAAACACTGAGAAGGAGTAGCTGGGGGGAAATCTTCAGCTGGCATTGCAAACGGGCGGGTCATTTTATCAAATTTGTCTAAGGTCAGATATGAACCAACTTCTTGCAATCGCTCCGGTTCCATAATTTGCATTGTGTGGTCATCAGGTAGAAAACAATCTGTGTTAGTTGCACTCTGCATAGAGAAATTTTAAGAAATATGTGAATTAAAGAGTAATACATTCACTAAGAACAAATTCATGTTAATCAACCAAAATCACCTCTAAGCAGCTTATATCTGCGCCACGACTATATGTCATCTCTATACGGAACCTCTTTGGATCTTCCAAAGGCACCTGCAATAGTTGTGCCAATTAAAAAGAAACAACATTGCTTCATGTTAGATATGCTTTTGTGTGCCCTAATTGTTCCAGGAAATCAGTTAGTGACTTTAAGGTAGTATAAGCCTCAAAGCTATATGACAGAATCGGAGATATTATTTATTTAAATAATTACCATGGAATGAATCCTAAAATTACAAGCACTTGTATGAACCTGATGTAGTTGGTAGCATGCTGTTCTCCATCATTGTAATTAATATTGGTGCAGCTAGATTGCTTAAAGAAGCAGTGCCACAGCTAGACTGTGAATGTTTCTCCTTATCAGTGTAAGAAAATTTCAGAGTTAAATTCACTGAAACAGATACTTAATATTCCACAATATCAAGATACTGAAACCAAATCTGGAACAGATGTAGAAGATTTATCTGCATTGTTTTTTCTCGAACACACAGGAGATTTGTGCATCTTTGTATCAGAGAAGAAAAGGAAGGGGTAGAGACTAGAGACACCCGAAGCACAGAGTCACACACCCACACATGCTCAATTGGTGAAGCTGTATGTTTTTTCCTGGCATAATGCTGGCAAGATGGGTTTCAAACTTGTTTATCCAAAAGATGGGAACTACATTAGCTATTTACTGGCAGGTTTCACAACTTTTTGGTCAATTTGATAGCAAGTATACTGATTCATTTAATAGTAGATCTTTTTTCTAAAAAACAAAGATTGACACAGTAAAAGTTTTACTGATTTTCTTTTCGTGCATGAAGTTAGCAACTAACAGTACAAAGGTACAACTATCCATTACACATGATTAAGGGAATTTTAATACCTCCGTATTCTCAAACATACGCAACACAATGTAACTCATGTAGTCAAGTTCCTTTGTTTTAAATAGATGATCTGAAGCATTTTTGCAGATAAGACTCTCTTCTCCATTCAGAGACTCGTCCAAATAGCAGTATCGAAGTACGTTCATTAGAGAATGTATATGCGATTCCTGCAAGAAGAGAAGAACAAAATCTTGAGTCATGGTGCTGAGGAGAAAACAAGTGAACAAGAAAACTACTCCAGGATACACTTAATTTATTGAGAATGTAAAAAATGAGCATGATTGATATTTCATGCTTTATGACGTCATAACACGAGAAAGCACAAATGAACAAAAAACATCTTGCAAAAAAGAAATAAAGGTTGAAGATCATCTACATACCGATGTAAAATAGAGCCTTGTTCGAACACGTCTCTCGGGATCCATCACATTTGCATATCTGCAGGAAGATTATTTGCTTATCTGTTTGTATCATTCAGAAGTCAAAATGACTGGAATTCTTGGTAAGTTACTTACTTCGGATCTAAGCAGTATTTTGTTTCTTCATGGGAATCTAGATCAACTGACTTCTCGTCTGTGCTAGATCCTTCAGAACTCTCATTCCTAACACCATCATGGTAACACCTCTCCTTTCGTTTTGTAGAAGATACTACTATTGGATCAAGTCGTGTACTAGATTCAGCAGCTACCTCGGTAATCTCTCGTCTGGTGTTGTGCAGGTCAATCAGAATCTTGCCCAATAAACGGCGTGCTATCTGCAGAAATGGACAGAAGAAATAGATTGTGATGATTTTTACCACGAAACAAAGGGGAAAAACACCCTAGCCTTGAGTAGTAGAATGCCTGCAGATTATCCACAAGTTATCAGTTTATTTATGTTCAGCATCCTTCCTGTCTAAATAACTATCTTCTTATTTACAATAAATACTGCGTATGAGCAATTGAATATACAACTATACAAGATACGTCACATTGAACAAACCCAACTTACTGAATCAATTCAAAAGACAATACCTTTGAACCTATTTTAAGTCTTTGTTTCGGATTTATCCCGTACTCATTTGGAATGACACCATCAGCTAGCAACTGAGTGAAATAGTAACACAACAAAGTAATTAGAAATGTAGGACAAAAAATTTCAGAAAACAAAAATATTGGGCCGAAAATGGATCGAGAGATAGCACTGGAATGAGGAAACATCAAATTGAACGAGTACGTTTCGTAAGACTAGGCTTACTTTCATCAAACTATCGAAATACTACACTTCTAATATTTTGTTTCACAAAAATGGCACTCTTTTTGTCACACTGTATGCCAAAAAATCAAGGACCGAGGACTTCTTGAGCCCGGACCCCATGATTC